TTGTCGACGTGCAACGCCACCTCCTCCCTCATGGCTCTCAAGGCCTTCTCCTGCTTCTGCTCCTCGGTGAGAGGGACGCCGTCCTTGTCGTCGTCGGCGCCCGCGAAGACGGCCACGAACGTGTCCCTGAGCATGTCGGGCTCCGGCGGGAAGCCGTGGCCACATAGGGAACGCAGGCGAAGATGGCATTCACAATTGCGGCATTCACAACTGCATATGGTTGGGTCCTTCGCCAGGATAATTTCCCAACCATCCTGTGGTGTTGGGTCCTCGTTTTGAAGAGACAGCGCCCCGCGTCCACTCCTCCTCCCGCTGCCCCCTTCCTCCTCTTCATCCCTGCGTTTCACCCACCGCTTCGTGGCCCCATAGGGAGCTCCACCGAAGGCGCCAGTGGCAGGGTTCGCATGGCGGCCTCGGGCCATTTGGGCACACCCCTCACAAGGATCGTGGCCCCATATGGAGCTCCATCGAAGGCGCCAGCGGCAGGGTTCGCATGGCAGCCTCGGGCCATTTGGCACACCCCTCACGAGGATCGTGGCCCCATGGGGAGCTCCACCGAAGGCTAGCAGTGGGGGCCAGTCTCCTGAGCGTTTCGGGCATTAAGCGGCACAACGCCCCACGAGACATCTGGCCCCATAGGGAGCCCGCCGAAGGCGCCAGTGGCGGGTTCGCAATGGCGGCCTCGGGCATTTCGGCAGCCCCCTCACAGTGATCGTGGCCACATATGAGCTTCCACCGAAGGCCCCAATGTCAGGTTTGCATGGCGGCCTCGCGCCAATTTCCGGCACAACCCCCAGACCCCTCACGAGGATCGTGGCCCCATAGGGAGCTCCACCGAAAGCCCCAGTGGCAGGGTTTGCATGGCGGCCTCGGGCCATTTCGGCACACCCCTCAAAAGGATCGTGGCCCCATGAGGGGGCTCCACCGAAAGCGCCAGTGGCAGGGTTCGCATGGCGCTCGGGCCATTCGTCACACCCCCCATCTCCGTCGTGGCCCCCTAGGAGCTCCACCGAAGGCCCCCAGAGGCAAGGTTCGCAAATGGCGGCCTCGGGCCAGTTCGGCACACCCCTCACGAGGATCGTGGCCCCCTAGGGAGCTCCACTGAAGGCCCCAGTGGCAGGGTTCGCATGGCGGCCTCGGGCCATTTCGGCACACCCCTCACGAGGATCGTGGCCCCATAGGGAGCTCCACCGAAGGCCCCCAGTGGCAGGGTTCGCATGGCGGCCTCGGGCCATTTCGGCACACCCCTCACGAGGATCGTGGCCCCATAAGGGAGCTCCACCGAAGGCGCCAGTGGCAGGGTTCGCATGGCGGCCTCGGGCCATTTCGGCACACCCCTCACGAGGATCGTGGCCCCATAGGGACTCCACCGAAGGCGCCAGTGGCAGGGTTCGCATGGCGGCCTCGGGCCATTTCGGCACACCCCTCACGAGAATCGTGGCCCCATAGGGGGCTCCACCGAAGGCGCCAGTGGCAGGGTTCGCATGGCGGCCTCGGGCCATTTCGGCACACCCCTCACGAGGATCGTGGCCCCATAGGGAGCTCCACCGAAGGCCCTAGTGGCAGGGTTCGCATGGCGGCTCCGGGCCATTTCGGCACACCCCTCACGAGGATCGTGGCCCCATAGTTGCGCTGCTTCAACAACCGCGCCTGGGCGTCGTACTCCGCCTTGTCGACGTGCAACGCCACCTCCTCCCTCATGGCTCTCAAGGCCTTCTCCTGCTTCTGCTCCTCGGTGAGAGGGGCGCCGTCCTTGTCGTCGTCGGCGCCCGCGAAGACGGCCACGAACGCGCCCCTGAGCATGTCGGGCCCCGGCGGGAAGCCGTGGCCACATAGGGGGCGCAGGCGAAGATGGCATTCACAATTGCAGTATTTCCACAACGGCATATGGTTGGGTCCTTCGCCAGGATAATTTTTTTTTGAAAAACCATTGGTTTTTTTGATGTTGTTTCAACGCGCGCCATCCTGTGGTGTTGGGTCCTTGTTTTGAAGAGACGATGGCCCGCGTCTCCTCTCCTCCTCTCCTCCTCCTCCCCCTCATCCCTGCGTTTCACCCACCGCTTCGTGGCCCCATAGGGAGCTCCACCGAAGGCCCCACTGGCAGGGTTCGCATGGCGGCCTCGGGCCATTTCGGCACACACCTCACGAAGATCGTGGCCCCATAGGGAGCTCCACCGAAGGCTCCAGTGGCAGGGTTCGCATGGCGGCCTCGGGCCATTTCGGCACACCCCTCACGAGGATCGTGGCCCCATAGGGAGCTCCACCGAAGGCACCAGTGGCAGGGTTCGCATGGCGGCCTCGGGCCATTTCGGCACACCCCTCACGAGGATCGTGGCCACATAAGGGAGCTCCACCGAAGGCGCCAGTGGCAAGGTTCGCATGGCGGCCTCGGGCCATTTCGGCACACCCCTCACGAGGATCGTGGCCACATAGGGAGCTCCACCGAAGGCCCCAGTGGCAGGGTTCGCATGGCGGCCTCGGGCCATTTCGGCACACCCCTCACGAGGATCGTGGCCCCATAGGGAGCTCCACCGAAGGCGCCAGTGGCAGGGTTCGCATGGCGGCCTCGGGCCATTTCGGCACACCCCTCATCAGGATCGTGGCCCCATAGGGAGCTCCACTGAAGGCGCCAATGGCAGGGTTCGCATGGCGGCCTCGGGCCATTTCGGCACACCCCTCACGAGGATCGTGGCCCCATAGGGAGCTCCACCGAAGGCGCCAGCGGCAGGGTTCGCATAGCGGCCTCGGGCCATTTCGGCACACCCCTCACTAGGATCGTGGCCCCGTGGCCCCATAGGGAGCTCCACCGAAGGCGCCACCGGCAGGGTTCGCATAGCGGCCTCGGGCCATTTCGGCACACCCCTCACGAGGATCGTGGCCCCATAGGGAGCTCCACCGAAGGCGCCAGTGACAGGGTTCGCAGGCCGGCCTCGGGCCATTTCGGCACACTCCTGACGAGGTCGTGGCCACATAGGGAGCTCCACCGAAGGCCCCCGAGCAGTGGTTCGCATGGCGGCGCTCGGGACCATTTCGTCCACCCCTCACGAGGATCGTGGCCCCATATGGAGCTCCACTGAAGGCGCCAGTTGCAGGGTTCGCATGGCGGCCTCGGGGCCATTTCGGCCACCCCTCTCGAGGATTGTGGGCCCCATAGGACTCCACCGAAGGCCGCCGACCGAGTGGCAGGTTTCGCAATTTCGGCCCTAGGTCCATTTCGGCACACCCCTCACGAGGGATCGTGGCCATAGGGAGTCTCCCATAAGCGCCAGTGGCAGGTTCGCATGGCGGCCGGCCTCGGGCCATTTCGGCACACCCCATCACGAGGATCGTGGCCCCATAGGGAGCTCCACCGAAGGCTCCAGTGGCAGGGTTCGCATGGCGGCCTCGGGCCATTTCGGCACACCCCTCACGAGGATCGTGGCCCCATAGGGAGCTCCACCGAAGGCCCAGTGGCAGGGTTCGCATGGCGGCCTCGGGCCATTTCGGCTCACGAGGACCGTGGCCCCACTGGAGCTCCACCGAAGGCGCCAGTGGCAGGGTTCGCATGGCGGCCCCGGGCCATAGCGGCACATCCCTCACGAGGATCGTGGCCCCATAGTTGCGCTGCTTCAACAACCGCGCATGGGCGTCGTACTCCGCCTTGTCGACGTGCAACGCCACCTCCTCCCTCATGGCTCTCAAGGCCTTCTCCTGCTTCTGCTCCTCGGTGAGAGGGACGCCGTCCTTGTCGTCGTCGGCGCCCGCGAAGACGGCCACGAACGCGTCCCTGAGCATGTCGGGCTCCGGCGGGAAGCCGTGGCCACATAGGGAGCGCAGGCGAAGATGGCATTCACAATTGCGGCATTCACAACTGCATATGGTTGGGTCCTTCGCCAGGATAATTATATTAAAATCGCTACGAAAACTAAGGTTTTGGAAGGATTTCGTTTTGCGCGCGCGAATGTCCACTTTACCTTATTTGTTGCAAGGGATTCTTGAAGTTTGGATATGTTAGAACAAGAAATGTCCACTTTAGCTTATTTTTTGCAAGGGAAAACCGATCGTAACAACACAACCGGATCCGGACCAACCCGTTTTGCCTGAGACTTCCTCACGAAAATTATGAAAACGTGGCTGCGGCCTAGGCGCGGCGGGGGGGCCATGCACCAGGGGTCCCAACAATAATTATTCTTTAGAAGTAATAATGTTCAACAACAACAACAACAACCACCACCACCACCACCACCACCACAACAACAACAACAACAACAACAACAGCAACAGCAACAGCAACAGCAACAGCAACAGCAGCAGCAACAACAGCAACAGCAGCAGCAACAACAGCAACAAGAACAACAAGAACAACAACAACCACAACAACAACAACAGCAACAACACCAACCGCAGCCACAACAACAATCACAACAACCACGACAGCAGCAACAACAACAACAACAACAACAACAACAACAGCAGCAGCAGCAACAAGAACAACAGCAACAACCACAACAACAACAACAACAACAACAGCAACAGCAACAGCAACAGCAACAGCAGCAGCAACAACAGCAACAGCAGCAGCAACAACAGCAACAAGAACAACAAGAACAACAACAACCACAACAACCACAACAACAACAACAACAACAACAACAACAACAGCAACAACAACACCAACCGCAACCACAACAACAATCACAACAACCACGACAGCAGCAACAACAACAACAACAGCAGCAGCAGCAACAAGAACAACAGCAATAACCACAGCAACAACAACAACAACAAGACAGGCAGACAGATAGACGGACAGACGGACAGACCGACAGAGAGACAGGGTACTGAGAGACAGAGAGATGGACAGACAAAGAAACAGAGACGGAGAGACGGAGAGACAGAGACAGAGACAGAGAGACAGAGAGACACAGCGAGGGAGAGAGATAGAGAAAGAGAGAGAGAGAGAGAGAAATCGCAACTCCTCGCAGAAGAGAAGAAAGGCACGGCTTCGCACGGCGGGACGCCTGGGGGACCGCGACCGCCGAGGGGCGGAGAGCCCGAGGAAGCCCTCCCGGGCGCGGGGCGGAGCGGAGCTGGCGACCCCCGAGCGCCGCGCCCGCACCCGGCCCTCCCCTCCTCTCGCGCGGAGCGGCTTCCTCTCGGCGGCGAGCCCAGGGGCGCAGCGGAGGGGGGGGGGGCAGGCCCTCTCAAGGGCGGCGGGGCTTCTGAGAGGCCCTCGCGCCCTCTGGGAGGGCCGCCCGTGCCTTCGGAGAGCGCCCACGGGCCTCCTCGGAAGGCGGGCTACTCAGAAGCCCCGCCGCCTTCTGAGAAGGCCTGCCCCCCCTCGCCACTTCCCCCTCTGGGCTCGCCGCCGATTCCCTCTGTCCCTCGTCTCCTTGTCCAGCCTTATCGACTCGGACATCTCAATGCCTCCTTCGGACTGCTATGACTTGTCAGGGTCTGCATCGAGCTGCATTGATGCATATGGCTTTGGCCCGCAGGCCGATTCGAGAAAGGTCAACAAAGCTTTACAAATTTCAATATCTGCCCTGCCCAGCCTTCCCGGCCCTCCTTGCCTCTCCGTCTCACTGCTTCCCTCACTCGCTGCTTTTGCTTCTGAGAGCCCTTGTTTCGCTTCTTCCTTCCATCCCCCTCCCCACGCCTGTTTCTACCCTGCTGTTTCCCTGTTACTGTACTTGTTTTTACGTGCAGGGCCGTGTCCAGCACGTTAAACGAAGACGCTGGTCGAGAGCAGGTCGGCGAATGCTTCCCAACAGCAGGCCCACCAGGAGGATGAAAGTTTAGAAACCGCTACGTATGGAATTTGAGAGGGAAGCCAAGAAACAACATAAGTTTGGAAGAGCGGCATTACAATGTATGTGAGCAATGTGAAGAGTGATAGACAGACACAAAGACAGACAGGTATACGACCTGAGCGTAGGCATGACGGCGTACAGGCATGGTACACAACAGCAGAACCATGTCGTTATCACCGGCATTGCGGAACGACGAATGGCCCAACGGTCGATTGCAGGACAAGCCCGATGCCTGGCTCCTGCGGCTGATCAAAGACATGATGGCGCAAGCAACTCACAGGCAACAAAAGGCTCGCCAGCACGTCAGGTTCCCATGCAGCGAGCACCTTCCAAACCCATCCGCGGGCGGGGGATCTGCAGCAAGCTCGAAAAAACGCACGGCACTGCAACACGGAACATCGAGCCACCTCGCTACATACCCTGCGTGTGCAATGAACCGTTGCACCTTCCTCTGCAAGGGCTCCCAACTTCGCGCTTCGCGCTGAGCGAAGCGCGAAATGCGGATAACGTCGCGCTCTCGCGCCGCCTCCCACGGAAGAAGAGGAGGATGAGGAGGAATCGGAGCCGAAGCGCGAAGCGCGAATAATCTCGCGCCTTCGAGGGCGCCCTTGCCTCTGCCACCCGCGCTGCCGGGTCAGGTGCGAAGACCAATCTGGCGAGGGGGCCAAACACCACGTCGGACCAGCCCCTCGCCAGGGAGAGCGCGTCCCCTGCTCGGCGCCTCGATCAGGCGAAGCCTCCCTCGACATCCAAAACCCGGTTCAGTTGCCGAAGGCCCTCCCTTGCTGAGCAGTTTCGGCGACGCCTCCTTGCCAAGCGCCCTTGCCGCAGCAGCGGCCGACGTGCTCACGCTTTCGCGGAGAGCGTCGTTCTGACGACACCCGCCCCGAAAGACGAGCCCTCGCCCAAGGGCCCAAGGACGCCTGCGAGTGCCAGGAAGGACGGCCTGACAGGGAACGGGAAAAGAAGAGGGGAAGGGAAGGAGGGAGACGACGGAACTGAGGGAGGAGGAGAAGGAGGAGGGGAGCTGAAGGAGGGAAGGGGACAAGGAGGAAAGGAAGACTACAATGAAGTATGTGTGTGTGTGCGTGCGTGCGTGCGTGCGTGCGTGCGTGCGTGCGTGCGTGCGTGCGTGCGGCCGTGCCGTACCGTGCCGTGCCGTGCCGTGCGTGCGTGCGTGCGTGCGTGCGTGCGCGCGTGCGCGTGCGCGCGCGTGTGTGTGTGTGAGTGCGTGTGTGTGGGTGTGTGTGTGTCTGTGTGTCTCTGTGTGTCTCTGTGTGTCTCTGTGTGTCTTTGTGTCTCTGTGTGTCTCTGTGTGTCTCTGTGTCTCGGTGATTATGTGTCTCTGTGTCTCTGTGTCTCTGTGTCTCTGTGTCTCTGTGTCTCTGTGTCTCTGTGTCTCTGTGTCTTTGTGTCTCTGTGTCTCTGTGTCTCTGTGTCTCTGTGTCTCTGTGTCTCTGTGTCTCTCTGTGTCTCTTTGTGTCTCTCTGTGTCTCTCTGTGTCTCTCTGTGTCTCTCTGTGTCTCTCTGTGTCTCTCTGTGTCTCTCTGTGTCTCTCTGTGTCTCTCTGTGTCTCTCTGTGTCTCTCTGTGTCTCTCTGTGTCTCTCTGTGTCTCTCTGTGTCTCTCTGTGTCTCTCTGTGTCTCTGTGTCTGTGTCTCTGTGTCTCTGTGTCTCTGTGTGTCTCTGTCTCTCTCTGTGTCTCTCTGTGTCTGTGTCTCTGTGTCTCTGTGTCTCTGTGTCTCTGTGTCTCTGTGTCTCTGTGTCTCTGTGTCTCTGTCTGTGTCTCTGTGTGTGTCTCTGTGTCTCTGTGTCTGTGTCTCTGTCTCTGTCTGTCTGTGTCTCTGTGTCTCTGTGTCTCTGTGTCTCTGTGTCTCTGTGTCTCTGTGTCTCTGTGTCTCTGTGTCTCTGTGTCTCTGTGTCTCTGTGTCTCTGTGTCTCTGTGTCTCTGTGTCTCTGTGTCTCTGTGTCTCTGCTCTGTGTCTCTGTGTCTCTGTGTCTCTGTGTCTCTGTGTCTCTGTGTCTCTGTGTCTCTGTGTCTCTGTGTCTCTGTGTCTCTGTGTCTCTGTGTCCCTCTGTGTCTCTGTGTCTCTGTGTCTCTGTGTCTCTGTGTCTCTGTGTCTCTGTGTCTCTGTGTCTCTGTGTCTCTGTGTCTCTGTGTCTCTGCGTCTCTGTGTCTCTGTGTCTCTGTGTCTCTGTGTCTCTGTGTCTCTGTGTCTCTGTGTCTCTGTGTCTCTGTGTCTTTGTGTCTCCTGTCTCTGTGTCTCTGTGTCTCTGCGTCTCTGTGTCTCTGTGGCTCTGTGTCGCTGTGTCTCTGTGTCTCTGTGTCTCTGTGTCTCTGTGTCTCTGTGTCTCTGTGTCTCTGTGTCTCTGTGTCTCTGTGTCTCTGTGTCTCTGGGTCTCTGGGTCTCTGGGTCTCTGTGTCTCTGTGTCTCTGTGTCTCTGTGTCTCTGTGTCTCTGTGTCTCTGTGTCTCTGTGTCTCTGTGTCTCTGTGTCTCTGTGTCTCTGTGTCTCTGTGTCTCTTTGTCTCTGTGTCTCTGTGTCTCTGTGTCTCTGTGTCTCTGTGTCTGTGTGTCTCTGTGCCTCTGTGCCTCTGTGTCTCTGTGTCTCTGTGTCTCTGTGTCTCTGTGTCTCTGTGTCTCTGTGTCTCTGTGTCTCTGTGTCTCTGTGTCTCTGTATCTCTGTGTCTCTGTGTCTCTGTGTCTCTGTGTCTCTGTGTCTCTGTGTCTCTGTGTCTCTGTGTCTCTGTGTCTCTGTGTCTCTGTGTCTCTGTGTCTCTGTGTCTCTGTGTCTCTGTGTCTCTGTGTCTCTGTGTCTCTGTGTCTCTCTGTCTCTCTGTCTCTGTGTCTCTGTGTCTCTGTGTCTCTGTGTCTCTGTGTCTCTGTGTCTCTGTGTCTCTGTGTCTCTGTGTCTCTGTGTCTCTGTGTCTCTGTGTCTCTGTGTGCGTCTCTGTGTGACTCTGTGTGTCTCTGTGTGTCTCTGTGTGTCTCTGTGTGTCTCTGTGTGTCTCTGTGTGTCTCTGTGTGTCTCTGTGTGTCTCTGTGTGTCTCTGTGTGTCTCTCTGTGTCTCTGTGTGTCTCTGTGTGTCTCTGTGTGTCTCTGTGTGTCTCTGTGTGTCTCTGTGTGTCTCTGTGTGTCTCTGTGTGTCTCTGTGTGTCTCTGTGGGTCTCTGTGTGTCTCTGTGTGTCTCTGTGTGTCTCTGTGTGTCTCTGTGTGTCTCTGTGTGTCTCTGTGTGTCTCTGTGTGTCTGTGTGTGTCTCTGTGTGTCTCTGTGTGTCTCTGTGTGTCTCTGTGTGTCGCTGTGCGTCGCTGTGTGTCTCTGTGCGTCTCTGTGTGTCGCTGTGTGTCGCTGTGTGTCTCTGCGTGTCTCTGCGTGTCTCTGTGTGTCTCTGTGTGTCTCTGTGTGTCTCTGTGTGTCTCTGTGTGTCTCTGTGTGTCTCTGTGTGTCTCGGTGTGTCTCTGTGTGTCTCTGTGTGTCTCTGTGTGTCTCTGTGTGTCTCTGTGTGTCTCTGTGTGTCTCTGTGTGTCTCTGTGTGTCTCTGTGTGTCTCTGTGTCTCTGTGTGTCTCTGTGTGTCTCTGTGTGTCTCTGTGTGTCTCTGTGTGTCTCTGTGTGTCTCTGTGTGTCTCCGTGTGTCTCTGTGTGTCTCTGTGTGTCTCTGTGTGTCTCTGTGTGTCTCTGTGTGTCTCTGTGTGTCTCTGTGTGTCTCTGCGTGTCTCTGCGTGTCTCTGCGTGTCTCTGCGTGTCTCTGCGTGTCTCTGCGTGTCTCTGCGTGTCTCTGTGTGTCTCTGTGTGTCTCTGTGTGTGTCTGTGTGTCTCTGTGTGTCTCTGTGTGTCTCTGTGTGTCTCGGCGTGTCTCTGCGTGTCTCTGCGTGTCTCTGTGTCTCTCTGTGTGTCTCTGTGTGTCTCTGTGTGTCTCTGTGTGTCTCTGTGTGTCTCTGTGTGTCTCTGTGTGTCTCTGTGTGTCTCTGTGTGTCTCTGTGTGTCTCTGTGTGTCTCTGTGTGTCTCTGTGTGTCTCTGTGTGTCTCTGTGTGTCTCTGTGTGTCTGTGTGTCTCTGTGTGTCTCTGTGTGTCTCTGTGTGTCTCTGTGTGTCTCTGTGTGTCTCTGTGTGTCTCTGTGTGTCTCTGTGTGTCTCTGTGTGTCTCTGTGTGTCTCTGTGTGTCTCTGTGTGTCTCTGTGTGTCTCTGTATGTCCCTGTGTGTCTCTGTGTGTATCTGTGTGTCTCTGTGTGTCTCTGCGTGTGTCTCTGCGTGTGTCTCTGTGTGTGTCTGTGTGTGTCTGTGTGTGTCTGTGTGTGTATGTGTGTGTGTCTGTGTGTGTCTGTGCGTGTGTCTGTGTGTGTCTGTGCGTGTGTCTGTGTGTGTGTCTGCGTGTGTGTCTGTGTGTGTCTGTGTGTGTGTCTGTGTGTGTGTCTGTGTGTGTCTGTGTGTGTGTCTGTGCGTGTGTCTGTGTGTGTGTCTGTGTGTGTGTCTGTGCGCGTGTGTCTGTGTGTGTGTGTGTCTGTGTGTGTGTCTGTGTGTGTCTGCGTGTGTGTCTGTGTGTGTCTGTGTGTGTCTGTGTGTGTGTCTGTGTGTGTCTGTGTGTGTGTCTGTGTGTGTGTGTCTGT